AAAAAAAAAAAAGAAAGAAATAGAAAATCAGATTGCTCTTTTTTTAAGTGTATTTAGTACAGGGTCTCACTACACAGATCAAACTCATAGTAATCCTCCTATTTTCAGCTTCCTAAGCACTGGGATTACAGGTGTGCACCACGACACCCAGTCTCAATCACCATCTCATCCTGTCCTGGGGTCAGGGCTGGCACTGCATGCCAGGGGGTGCCCCAGTCCCTGTGCCTGCCTAAGCAGGCACTTTAGTCTGCTGAGCTATCTGGCCAGCCCCAGATTGCTATATTTAAAGGTGGCAAGAGACTATACTATTGTCATGTTTAGAATTTGTGAATAATTAAAAATTAAATCATTTTCAAGCTGGCTGTGGTGGCTCACACCAATAATAGCAGTTGGGAGAAGGCTGGGACAGGAGGACTTTGAGTTTGAGGCAGTCATGGGCTACATAGCAAGTTCAGGGTCACCTCTGTTATCTCTATGATGGAAATCTGATCTTGAAAAAATAAATACGTATTTTCATAAATCACCTTTCTGCTTTTCTCCTTCTGTTATACCAGTGGTTGTGAATCTATGACATATACTGCAGCAAAATGTTGGTATCATTGGAAGTTCTAAAAGGTTCGCCATGACTTTGTTGAACTTTCTATCATAACCATGATTTTCTTCAGAATCATAAATGTTTATATAAATATTATTTGTAACTTTCCATAGGTAAAGGGGCAGATTTTAAAATTCTTACTCTCTTTCTGGGACATTCAGAAGAGGTCCATTCATTTTTCTTTTAATGCTAGAGATTGAACTTGGGCCCTTTGCAGTGACTTACATCCTTAGCCCTTTTTTTATTTTGAGACATTGTCTCACCAAGTCATTAAACTGCTCAGAGTGGGTTCAAACTTGGTATCTCTCTGCCTCACCTTCTCTGAGTACTGGAATAATAGGTGTGTGCTATATGTCTTTTTTTTTTTTTTTTTTTTTGAAACAGGGTCTTGCTCTGTAGTTCAGGCAGACCTTGGACTTGCTGTGCAGTCCAGGCTGGCCTCAACCTTGTGGTGATCCTTTGGCTGCAGCCTCCCAAGTGCTGAGATTACAGGTGTACATGACCATGCCTGATTGTCATTCATTGTCATATGTTCCATAACTTCTACTTAAGGAATCTAGGTGTCTCTCCCATTGTCATATGGGAGGTTGCTTCCTCATGGGTTGTCCTTCTTGAAGTCTTTTTCTTCTGTCTTCTATAC